TTTAAAAATTCCATTGGGTTAAAAACTTAATTAGTAGGTACTTTGGGCGTTAAGTGTAGATATTTACCAGTCAAATAATATTGAAAAACTTTGAACTCTATTATTGAACAGTTAAACTGCAGTCACCGCCCTTAATACTCAAATATTGATTAAATATCTTAAATTCTTTATTTTTTTTTTCAGAGTGACCAGTAGCAGCAAACAAAAAAACAATTTTACAATAAGAGGTAAATTTAATTAATTTTCAATGCACTTTTTTTTAATTTATTTTAATCCAATTAATATTCGATGATTGGGTTACCTCAATGATGATGACTTAATTTCAAAAGTTTTTTTTTTAGGAATGTATTTTCATGTACCCATTATGTTTTTTTTTGTTTCAAAAAAGTATATTTATTTATTTAAAAGAAATATTTTTTTATTATTTTTATTGTAATTATTATAATTTTATGTGAAATAAACTGGAATATGAGTGATTTATTTGTTTGTTTTTTTATTTAATCAACAAATGACATACCAATATTTTTTTATGTATACTGATTTTTGTAAAATAACCTCTTTGAAACATTAAATTGATAGGTAGGTTCATTTTTAAGGAACATCGAAATGTATGTGCTGAAATGTATTTTTTAATAAAATTTATTTATCTACAACCGTTTTCTGCAAAAATTTTAAGACAAACTTTGGCAGATGATAGATGGGTCAATTCTATTTTATTTATTTATTTTTTCTTAAATTAACATAGGCCCGATTGATTTTTGTTTAGAAGTTACAGTTGTATCTTAAAAAACATATTTGAATATTTTAATCAAAAGTAGGCTCATAACTAAAAATGCTGGTTGATATGACAAATATTATTTGGATTTATTATGATTATTGATTTGATACCTAATAGTGTGAAAGTTCTGAAAATAAAAAACGAATTTATTTTCAACTAAGAAGAATGAAGATATTGATGTATTCATATATGGGTATTCCAATAGGAACTTCAGACAAGCAGCTCGAGAATACGATGACACCTTTAAATACCTTCATCGGTATTCTGTAGCTGCTTGCCTGTCGTTCCCATTGGAATATCCATATGTACAAACAAAATATCTGGTCACACCTAAGTGGTGAATAAATGCATTTTTATATAAAATTTTCACAGTAAGTGTCAAATAAATAATAAAAATTACACAAAAAATTGTGATATCAACTGCATTTTGATTTATCAACCTACTTTAGATTAAAAAAATGGAAATATATTTTTAAATGCTTTTAATTTCTTAACAAAAACGAATTGGATCCATGTTTATGTAAGGAAAAAATTTTTAGAATCGGCCCAATTCTCATCTTGTAGAACACCTTGTATAACGTTACATATCAGTAATGGTATTGAATCATTTCAAAAATGAATATTAGTTGTTTTAGTTACAAAACAAAAATGAATAAAACATTATTATGATTCTGTATTCAAATCATCTTAAAAATGAACCAAGTCTGTTATAGTTTTGAAACAAAAACGTAACTTTGGTAAGAAATACAACGATAATTAGTCAGAAATATTAGCATTTCAAAAACGCAAATAATATGTTTTAGTTTCGAAACGAGAATGTAACTCAACTAACAAGACTAAAACATTTTAGTTAATACGCAATAAAAACATCTCAAACACGAAACTAATATGTTATACTTTCATAACTGAAATGTTTATCTATAAAGGTAACCGCGATTTTGTTAGAATTGAGGATATTTTACGTAACTATGAATAAAAAGACGCTGTAACAAATCCTTTTTATATAACGTAACAATGTAACTTAAAACATATGAGATGAAACTGGAATGTTTTTTTGTTTAATGGGACGAATCGCTCTCTCAGCTACACGATTAAGTTCAGGAGTCATTGGAATTGTAACATAATGTTTAATTCTATGTTCAATTAGAAAATCGTTAAAATTTTTACTAATATATTCGCCCCCATTATCAGACCAAAAAATTTTAATTTTCCTATAAGTTTCGTTTTCGACCATGTCTTTAAAGATTTTGAATTTTTCAAGTACTTCATATTTATGTTTCAAAAATCACACACAAACTATCCGATTCCTATTTTCTTAAAATTTGATACCGATCTAGTTAATATTTTCTGTTTTTCAGTGTAGGTTTGGAAATTCCATTGTCTTCATTTTAGGGGCTTCATAACATTCAAATCGAAATGTATTTCCGATCCTTTTCAAGTTCTAAGCTTTAGGAAGTACATACCGATTGGAACGCTCTAAAAGCACTAAGCCGAATACAATAGAAGTTCGAAACCTGCAATCAGAACTTATAGCATTCATTGTCTATTACTTTCAAACATAATACAGGAATCTGATTAAATTTTTATATAAGACAATGAAATTTACAATGGAGGTGAAGTGTAATAATGGTGAAAATTTCTAAAAATTACCAACGGAGAGAAGAAAGTAATATTTTTACGATCAAAAAGTTAAGTAAAATACAGCGGTAAAAAAAAGTACGGCTATGTATAAAATGTAATAGAAGAATTAATTTTAACAACATGATAAATAAATTTATTAAGTTATCACCTTCGAGTACACTATAATATGGCGCCTGGCATTAAATTATTAAAGCAGTGAGCAAAATTTTATATATTATTCATAAACAATGAAAAAAAAATATGATCAATAATTTTCTAAGTGGCCCTGGGAAACAGTAATAAATTCTACACCGAACATGAAGCTAATAACCATAGCAGTTGATGCCGATGACACAGGATAAAAAAATAATGAATATCTTATATGCGAATTTTTTTGGATATTTTGAAAGTATGAAAAGTTAAGGACGCAGTATTCCTGTGAATAAAAATCGTATGTGTATATCAAAGGTTAAATCTTTTAAGTTGGAACAAGAACTAAAAAAACTGAGTACATTTTTGAAATAACATTTTTTCAAAATCTCAAAAATAAAGGACATACGGGTCACGTACATTTTTTCGAAATCTCAAAAATAAAGGATATATATAAAACCAACCAATTATTGGGGAATTCAGCAAATAATTTGTTAAAAAAAACTTTTTTTACTTCATCTAAGCTTTCTTAAATTTATTAAATCATTTCCATCATCAGGGTAGAAATAAGTTGAGATTGTTCACTAGATGTTCTAACAAATTTGTATATATCTTTCATAAAATAGTCTAAATTTATATATTACTCCATTGTTCAATGTGTAATTTATTTGTCAACAATTTGACAGCAAAAAACCAAGAAATTTTAATCCTCAAGAGGCCATGACTATGAGGTTTATAAAAAGCAATTTCCACAAAATTGCAAGAGAGTCGATTATGGGCAGTTACCGAAGAAAGTCCTGTTTAAAAAAAAAACAAAAACAAAAGAAAAGGTCAACTCACCTTTGAGAATGACAGCCGTGTCTTGGACTGGGTTTTGAACGGTTTAAAAAAAAACTCAATATAAATGGTATTTAAATGATTATCTCCACAAATTATGGTGATTTGTTAGATCCATTATTAGGAGCACGAGACATGGACCCCAATATTTGTATATCACGGACCTGGAAAACATAATCAAAATAAGAAATTACGAGGAAGTGATAAAAAACTTAAAAAAGCACGAACTTGTAACAGACGAAAATGAGCCATAATAACTATAATCGTTACGTTACGAGATTTATCAGTTATAAATTAATACTTTCATATTTACATATCAAGGACTTTACATTTTGTTTGAAATAACATTAAAAACATATCTTTGATGAGTAAATAGTAATATTTTTTTTAACCTAAAAAAATCTTTATTGCCACGTTCTTCTTTTATTTAACCTTGCAACGTTTTCAATAATTTAAAGTAAAGATAGGTACTTACCGCTTATTAGTTACAATCGTTGTTATATATTTTTTTATTTTCTTACTTTTCCACATATTATTTCCTTCAAAATAAAGTGTTTGTCGTTTGAACCATCTGAATATTATTTTACTTCATCTACAAACCAATAAAACTGAACACCGTTGCTTTACACAGTATCTATGTATACGCTACCTTGTACGCAATTCAAAAATTTATATACACGCGAAACGTCTAGGCCGTTGGTGTTCATGCCGGTCGGCGTAGCTAGGTATGGATTGAAATTTTCTGGTGGCGGCGAAGCCGCCATCCTACGAGAAATCGTTGCTTCGTTTTCTTGTTTTCACGGCATTATTATTATTTGTTCTTGTATGTGAAATTTGCTTCTAAGGTTTATGAAATACTACTGCTAGTCACGGCGTAAATGAAAACAAACAAGACGCATTTACACAAACACCTCCCACCATAGCAATATGACGTTTCGCGTGTATATAATTTTTTGATTTGTGTACACTTTAGCGTGTACCTAGCAACAGCGGTGACTTTAAGCTGTAACACGACCATTGTGGCTACTGGCTCGTGGGCAAGCGTAAACAAGGCCTGAAACTCACTAGAGAAGAGTCAAATGCTGGCCAGTGGACAGGGTTGGCTCGAAAGATTTAATGAAAGAGCAATCAGATTTAATTTTTTTTTTATTTAGTTTGCCGGAGCAGTTAAAATTATTGTAGCAGGCGGAAATGAGCAATGGTGTATTTTTTATTAATTTGCTTAAATATGTTCTATAAGTTAAACAATTTTATTTAATCTGTTGATCGTTCAGATTGTTTTTATAATTTTTGTACATCATGTCCCTTTTATTAATTAATTTTATTAAATCTTCTGTTATCCACTCATTGCGTTTTTGTTCATTTCTTTTTCGTTTAAAAGTACTAGTATTTTTACTTATACAAGTTCTAAAATTTTTCATAAAATAGGCCGTCGCCTGTTCGACATCGGTAATGTTATAAAGCTTATTTCATTCTAATTTACTTAAATCATGTTTAAACTTTTTCAATTATTTAATAGAACTCAATTTTTTCACAAATTTGGCTTCTTTTCTATTATTTTCTTTTCAAAATATCTTATGTATAGGTATCTAATTTTAAATTATCTTTGTTTCAGGTGTTTGCGTTGCCCAGACGATTGTGAATTCTGCGACCCACTTACAGGCATCTGTCCAGCTCGACAGGACGTCTATCTGAAAACGGCCATCCTGTGTATACAACTTTTCTGCATGGCAGTAACCGTCCTTCTGGCCTTAATTGTCTTCAAACAACGTAAAACCAAGGTAAATATCTGTGTTGAAATTTACTCGTTCCTTTGGTGTCTCTCTCAAACTAAAGTCGTGGGTAAAGTTGGAAGGAAAATTGGAAAATGGCTAGCAGGCTATAGGAATTATGAGCAGGACACCGGAATTGAATTGAGAGCTCGGCGTGCATGTCCTGATTAAAAACGGATTAGCCTTTTCAATGAGGAGATGCAATTGAATGTATTTCTGTTCAGTAATTTACAATTTAAAGGGGATAAAAATATATTAAAAACATAAATTTAAATCGGTTAATTTGTTTAACGGACCGTGAGAGTGTGACATTATTTTTTTTAAACAAAGCAAAGTAACAAGTTAATTTTATTATAATTTACCAAAATTTTTGATTTCTTTAACTATTAACAATGAATATTTAGTGGATTATTATTATTTATCGATTCTTTTTAATTTTTATTTATATTTAATCCTAATAAAAATAACTGAGATATTAGGGTGTACTTATGAAAAGCGGGACATACTGTATACAAATTAAATTTACAGAAATAATGGAATATTTTAAATATTTTTGTCGAATGTAAAACATTAAAAATTGTACGTAGCACTCACCACCATTTTGCAGTTTTCGTCCTCCCTTAGTTAATCTTCTAGATCTTCCAGGTGCATTTATGGCCTTACAGTTTTTTGGATTAGTAAATGGGTTCTTTTTATGCATTATTATACCTCAATACCTGCCTAGAATATACTTTTATTTGGATATAATTCTATAAATTCAAAGAACAATGTAATTAAATTATTTTCTCATCATCGTAATATTTAAGTTACATTAGTATTAACGTGTATTAAAATCATATTAATGTTCTATGGTTAAATAAACCAGTCAAATAATAATTATTACTAAATGGGTAATAATTTTCAAGGTGCCCACCAAAATTTAATTTATTATATAACTAGTATGGTCATCCACCAAATTTTTAATCTATTCTCATGTAGCATAATAGTTATTATTTATTACATAAACGTAACCTTTTGGAAAAATGTAGATTATTCAATCTGTTTTCTTTGCGGCAGATACTGTCAGGTTTTTGTATTTTAAATATACCAGTTAAATTGATAAAAGTTATTATAAATAGGAAAACATTTTCAGCGTCTCCATCAAAATTTAAATATCGGTTACATAACAAATTACCTCATCCACCAAATTTTTAAATTGAAAATTTCACACCACCATTTTTAAGCCAATCAGAGTCTATTTTTTTGTTTGGTTACCATGGTAACCCAAAAAATTTCCGGAAATTTTCATCCTCCAGGGTACCCTGGACGAAATTAATAAGTGTAAATTTTTATGTCAAAATAATGACACTTGTAATGGGCTTGATTCATATAAGACTTTTTGTTTACTTTTTGTGCAAATCAAAATTAAACAATTACTACTTCTTTTGGTTTTTTTTCTAAATTTCTTTATTATTAATTACATCTAATAAATGTTTTTCAAAATCAATTAAAAAATCTTTTCTTCAGTGGTGAGTAAGAAAGGACACTCGTATTAACTAAATGTCAAAGCTGGGACGAATCCTCGAAAAATGGATTCGAATCACGAATCCGAATCACGAGATGTGATTCGAATCACGAATCCAATGTTCAAATCCTTTTTCAAAAAAAAAGGATTCGAATCAAGTAATTCGAATCCTTTTTTTCGGATCACGGATACGAATCACTGTCAGTGTTATACTGTGATATTAATTATATTTGCTTTCGAATCTAATACTGTTTTATACCTCGGTCCTAAAATATTTAACGCACTTCCGGTGGAATGTAAAAACCTAAATTCGATAATTCTTTATAGATCTAAATTGCAACAATGGATATTAACTAAACAAGGACAAGTATTTTAAGATTTTATTAATTTAAATATAACTAAAATCTAAAATCATTTAACTAAAAAGAACTTTACTTATTTGGAATTATCCAATTATTTATGTATATGATAATTATTTCCTAATTTTATCATAGACAATTATTTCCTCGTATATAGCTTTGCGCCCAAACAACACATTTTAAACTGCGTTTTTCTCGAAATAATGTTTTCTGGAGATACGGGGGTCTTTCATAGGACGGCAGCCCTGAGGTACCCCCTTACTAACAAAAAAAAGAATCATATGAATCGGACAAGGTAGTAAAGCATTATCGCTAAACATACATAAAAAATGAAGAGTTTGAGGATTTTGTCATGGACCCAATTATTAGATTTTGACCAAATTTATAAGGAACCACCCCTGAAGTACCCCCTTTCTAACAAAAATAGAATCATTGAAATCGGACACCGTGTTAAAGAATTATCGCTGAACATACATAAAAAAAATATCGCGACGAATTGAGAACCTCCTCCTTTTTTGATTTGTTAATTCTGTAATCATGCACAACGCCAAACACATCGGTTTTCTATTCAGTCTCAGTCTGTATTAGTTTTTAGTTTACAATTCGCGACAAGTCAAAGCTTGAGTCGGGCCGTTCGCGCCGGCGTAGTTTGGTCTCTAAAAGGATCCGAGACTGACATTAATGATTCGAATACGAATCCTTTAGGATTTTCTCTGCGAATCCGGATCACGGATCCTTTTTTTCTAAAGTATTCGAATCCCGCTCTCGGATCCTCAAAAAGGATTCGAATCCTGGATTCGAATCCTATGTGATTCGAATCATCCCCAGCTCTGCTAAATGTCTATGCTTAAGTAAATAAATATAATATTTTGAAACAATTCGGTTAAACTTAACTTTACAAATCCGAGAAAATTTGGTAGACACATTGAGTAAATTCTTCTGTATTGTACTAAATAGATTTTCCTCAGGATTTTGTAAACTGCACTCCAAACTACATTCATCAATGAGGTACGACAAATATTTTAAATTTGTGTGATACACTTTGAGATCACGGAGTTGTTCACAATGTTTGCATTATGTATATTTTTTAACTTTTTCCATAGTAATTCGATTTACCAAGATTTTTTAATAATGACGCAAAAACTTTACCAAAAGTTATAGGTTATTATTCTGCACTGTTAGGGCCATTTGCACCGTTAGTCGTTGAGAACTAAGCGAAGCTTAAAGTGACATTGATAATGAAAAAATGTCAGTTTAAGCTTGCCTTAGTTTTTAACGACTACCGGTGAAAATGGACCTCAGTGAGTTAAACTGTCAGCATAATAATTGTCTACAATTTTTCCAAAGCCACCTAAGCTGTTATTTGTTTCATGCAGGTATTTGGAAACTGCAATTACAGCTTAGCATATTTTAGGTACATATTAATTAAAAGAAAATGTTCCACCTACTTTAGTGAACATAACTTAGGTTATAACTGTAAAATAAATTTGTTTTAAATAAGTTTTACAAATTTTATTAATCTAAAATCGGCGGAACATTAATATTTTCGTAGTTTTATTTAGATATTTCATACCAATTATAACACTTGAATAATGAAATAAAAACAGTGTTCCACCTATTTTAGTGAATATAACTTAGGTTATAACTGTAAAATAAATTTATTTTAATAAATTTTACTAATTTTATTAAACTAAAATCGGTGGAACATTATTATTTTCACAATTTTATTTAGATACTTTGTAATTACAATTATTATCTTGAATAATGGAAGAAAACAATGTTAAACCAATTTTAGTGAACATAACTTAGGTTATAACTGTAAAATAAATTTGTTTGAAACAATTTTTACTAAATTTATTAAACTAAAATCGGTAGAACATTATTATTTTCACTATTTTCGTTAGATACTTTGTACCTGCAATTATAACACTTGAATTATAAAAAAATAGAGTCCACCTGTTCTATTATGCAAAACTTTATTTAAACAAACATTAGTATTATTTAATAGTCTCAATACAAATTAGAATTATTAAAATAATTAATATTACTATTTTTAATTTTTAGCTTATTCTATTTGTTATTATTGGTAATATTGAAAATACATTTATTTTAATTATTTGTTGGGTGATTTGAACCTTCAGAAAACGTGTTACCTTTAATTTCAACTGATTTGTGAAAAACGGTTGTCGAAGAGGTGTTAGGGAAGTTACTTCTCATAGACTCAATTATATTTTGAAGATGTTTAGAATCTAACTGGAGATATGGCTTAATTGATTGGCTGCTGCTATGTCCAGTTATTTTAATAAGTTGCTGCTAACTCCTTTTTTAGCTAAGTTAGAAACAGCTGTCGCTCTGGCCGAATGATTTGTCACTTTTTTCTTTTTATGTCGATACCAATATTAGATGCTGCCGACTTAAACCAAGTGGATATCGTATTCTTTCCTACCGGACAATTCTTGTACCATCTCTTAGAGTCAGGTTGATTCCAAGTAGGATTAGAGGTTAAAAATAATTTTTCAGTTTTTATGTTGTTACCCCTTTTTTCTAATAGCTTTTTGAATAAACGAACGGGGCAAATTTCTGAATTATTATTGTTTGTAATTAGCCACTTACTATCAGATAATTTTTTAAAACCCCCTTGAGCTGTTTTAGAAAAAACTGTATTATATTCTATCCTTCTACTTAAATTACCCTCATTATTAATATCCTCTGTAAAATACTGGATACAAGCTGATGACCTTTCTCCTCCCATCCAGGCTAGCTTAAGGGATGCGACATAAAAAAAATTTCGTTGAAGACCATGTGGACAATCTTCATCGCAAGTTTCTATAATTTTGTTAAATTCGTCGTTAGATAATGCCAGCGAACTTGATTTTCTTTTTTCAGGATCCCTCTGCAATTTTCTTCGCATTGCATCACACGCTGCTCTAGCAGATGCAAATTCAGGATCGGTAAATGGGTCAAATTTAATATTATAATTATTAAAAAACATCTCTTTTAACTGTTTTGCTGTGCTATTCCATATTACTTTTACAACACCCTCCTTATAATCACATGAGCTTTTTTTATTCATGTTAAATGCATAGTCTTCTAATATTTGACTCAGTGCTTCAATCGAAACAGATGGACTGTCAATATAATAAGAT